TTTTTCCATTTAGTAAAAAAAAATATCCACGTGTTATTAATAATAATTATTTTTGCTTATTAAATTAAACGATGTTCATATAATTACCACGTTATTTTGATAAAGATGTGACATAATACGGCTGTTATATTAATCTTTAATAACAATTTATCATTGCTAATTATTATTGCTTATTAGAATTTATTAGTTTTTTAAAACTTTCTAAAAAATTTGACTATATCTTTTGTAAAAATCACAAAATGTTTTAGAAATATATGACTACATGGCGCATCATGAGATAATATAAGTCTCCGTTAGACTCCGGTTTAGGTTTCTGTGCGAGTGTTCTATGTGTGTGTCACATACACGTGTGACTATCTTTGTGTTCGTGCTGCACAGGCCGATTTATTGATCACACGCGTCGCACGCAATAGGACGAATGTGCGTGCTCACCATATCGCAACCGTGTATAGCGTCTGAAAAGTTTTATTCTATGATTTTATACACTGTAGCTGTCTCGTATGAATGCGAGAGCAAAGAAAGCTGCGTCAGTAATTGCAGTAAATGAAAGCAGCCAATATTATCACAAAACAAAGAAGCAATTAACAAATATGAACGTTAATTACTAAAGAGTTTTATTGGAGCTTCACAAACTTGAGAAATAAAAACCAATGCCAATTATTTTCGTGTAGAAAATATTTTAATAATATTTGACACAAATTATTATTCAATATTTGTTTGTACGAATAACAATAAAAATCTTAAAATAAATATGGCTAATATGTATGTATTTATGACGTGATGATATATTTCACCAATTTTAGTTAGCAGACATTTTTACACTACAAAAATATTTTAATGATTTGAATTATTAAAGTATAATATTATCTACAAATAAATTTATAAAATGTAAATATATTTGTAATATTTGTAATAAACAACAAATATATAATATGTAAATGTCTCCGTCAGTATCTGTTTATTTTAAGATTTTATGTTATTTCTTCATAAATATTTCAATTCGGAATAATAATGTATTACAAATATTTATTATGAAAAATATAAATAAAATATGTAACTTATACATAAAGGTGAATTTATAATAATGAACTTTATGATAATGGAAAATGCACTCATATGCACATTTTATTGTAATATGGAAGTACTACTGAAGTAATTTCTTTAACCACGTGTTTCTAAACTGGATTTGTGAAAAAGAAATATCTTAATAAATTACTAAAAATTTCATAATTTAGAATAGCACATTTTTGTATAAAATATATTAAAAAATAAAATATATGAAAAAATTTTATTGCTTCAAATTTGATTCTTTTAGAATTTTTTGACATACTCACGCATGATTTATATTTCTCAAAGCCTAGGTAATGAATAAGAAACGATTAAGTATTTTGAAAGGTCGAATAAGCTACATTTCATAAATAACATTCTAGTTACTGACATGTTTCCGTTAGATGGAAGCAAAAACTGTGCAAAGTAATGCAGCGTTAGAGCTGTCGTTATCGAATCTCTAACTTCTTCTCTTGCGTGATTCAGGATAACATTATTTATATTAATTTTATAAAGTAGAATGTAATCTTTTTGTATAATTTATTCTAATATGTATGAATATTAACCAAACACAACATAGCATGCGAATTATACATTAGTCGTGAAATGTTAATTTCCAGACAAATTAACATTTCACGACTGATGTTTGTATCATTCTTAATTTTACTGCGCAATAAATTCGATGTTGGTATATGCTGGTAAAGAGCAAATTAGGTAAGAAGTATTTCAGCATAGCAAATAATTTTTTTATAGTACTAGCGTGCAAATTTATTGCACAATATGTAATAAATTATATGAAACGTTCATCTTGAAAATATATACCGGATATTGCAAGTAGCATTAAGAAACTTCGGTCGAGTTAGTAAAATGTAGTAATATATCTCCACAAAAAGTAAGAAAATTCAGATTCAATTCTTGATACTTCATGTTCCTATTTTGCGATTTCAATTTCCTTTTATTATCTTTTATTAATATAGTTTATATTCATCTCTGCGGTAAAGAGGAAAAACATTTTTAGCTTCTTTAACTTACTTAGCTAATAATAAACTCAGAATTGAGATATCTGGAGAACAATTAACTTAAAAAACATTTTGACGTCAAGATAATATTGTTAATGTATTATTTTTAGTTATTTTATTAAGTTATAATATTCAACGTCAGTGCTGCCAAAATCATTAAATACTTAACATCTGTTCAGATCTTTTTGAAATAATCCAATAATGATTTTTATATTTATTTGTATTAATATTTTGTAACAAGACAATTATCTTAAAATTATCTTAGTTAATGGAATGTTAAATTTTGTGTGATGAAATCGTCCTAATAGCACACTTTGTCCGGGATACATACTGGGGATGTCCTTAAAATGCTCAAAGAACATATGGATGTGTTCTAAGGATGTCCCCTGAAGATCTGTGCTGTTGAGACGTCAGTATTTATACAAGTAGGTACTCAGACATCACAAATGTTCAAAAGCGTGACGTAGGCTATCTTAAAGATATTTTTATGAAAGATATCTAAAAGATGTCTGAAGACATTTTTAAGACTTCTTATGTCTTGATTTTGGGCTTTGCGTTGTCTGAGTAGTTAATTATAAATATGGAAATAGATACTGTTAATGACGAAAACAACCGCGGATGAAAGTCATGAAATCAGGAAATCACTGCAGGAAATTGCAACATTGCGTTTAACAAACAAGATGATTATTCGGCATATAAAAATTGATCGGACGAATAGCAGAAGTTGGATAAAATTATGATGACAAGTCAAAAAGAAGTTTGCAAGACGTGTAGCTATATTATCATTGTTAAATATGATTTATCATCACTGATCATCAATATATAGATGTACATTATCAAAATTATAATCAAATAATTGTAAATGATTGTAAATGAGCTTTAATACGAAACGTATTAAAAAAACGATTGAATTGATCAAGACATGACTGAAACTTCTTTACATTTTGTATGAGTATACTATGCAAGTGTAACTTGTGCTTACAACGTGATTCTGTAAAAATCTAGGTTTACTGCAGGTCTATTATAGTTATTGCAAGTGTAAGAATAACGTTCATGTTTGTTTTTCTAAAAATTCGCGAAATTTCATGAGTCATTTTTCATTAATCGCTATTATTCGATTAATCAGTGATGTTTCTTCAATATCTTCTGATTGGATCAGAAAATTGTTTTTAATTCTTAATAGATTGTTCGATGTGCTTTTAGTATAATTAAATAATGTAGATTTTGTAATAATCTTCTTCGTCACGATTATTGGAAATATGACGATCATGTATATTGGAATAATATATTAGCCGAAATCTTACGAAATTGGAAAATCCATCTACATCATTGTATTTGGCAACAACATTACGAACGATGTGAATTTCATAATAAAAGCTACTGGCAATTACTTTCCAGCATTAAATAATGTGATAAATTTTAATGATCAATTACTTTAATATTAAGAAACATGATAAACAAAGTGCTATGTTTTATGAGTTTATCCTTATATTGCTTAAATTTATCACAGTACATGTAATGGAACAGGAAACAAAAGTATGTTACCAAAAAATTCTCGCAAATTTTATTCTGTACAAAAATTTGATTTAAATTAAATAGAAATCGTAAATTAAATAGAAATGTCTAAAATTTCCAATAATAACACTAGCAAGCTCGAGCACTTCCAATTACAAAGTTACAGAAAGTAAAAAATTTATCAAATTCCATACACAAATGTACAACATAATTGATCTGATAATCTGAGATTTGTTTAACACATGTCATGTAATACATCTCGACAAAAAACAATCGTTAATGCGATATCTAACAAAAATAAATTTACGGAAACTCTTGACCGCGATTTGATAGATTGCCAAAAGGATAAATGTTTACTTAAACATGGCCGAGTGTGAATCATCCAGACCGACATCGCAAATTTCAATAAAATCATTACGCTCTATCCACGTGATATGTCTCTCATCCAAGAGAAGAACTTTGCTAAATGTACGAGAGTCGCGGTATACTTTCGTAAAGAATCGTATCATTTTGCACGAGTACCGTTCACAATCGCAAAACACGTAAGTTCAACTATAAAAGCGCGCACATCGAACAACGAGTAGGACGGCGCAATTAATGGCGTGGGCCGTGGTCGATCGTGCAATTAACTTTAACGAACGGGCGGCCTTGCGATTAAACTTAATTAGTATCGCAGTAATAACTCGTTAATAATCAGAACCGTGTACAGAATCATGGCTTTGTGTGTGCATCAACGTGCACGTGCACGAGCGCGCATTGTCGTTCTCCAAGCACGAAGTGTCTACAAAAGACACTTGCCTACATGTATATAATATGTACATATATATATATATGTGTGTGTGTGTGTGTGTGTGTGAGTTATATTGCTCATGTGTGTTTGTTATGCGTTTAGAAGTGTGTATGTGGATCTTATATTTACGCGACGACGACGCGACGTGACGAGAAGAACGACGCTACACAATTTCGACGTTCGAGAAACGGAGTACCGACTAGAAAGACAGCAATGGTTTCCGTAGAACATAAACTAACAGTAACATTACTTCAATATTATATAATTTCGCACTCAACAGTATAAATGTAATATAACACATGTTGTACATAACAGTTGCAGTGTTGAGTAGAAAATTATAATATTTATTTAACGTTACTGACGTTACTGTTAGTTCGTGTTCCATGGATTCCAGCAAGAATCGTCAATCTCACAAAAGACAAGAAACGTCAGCCTCGCAAGAAAACAAAGAAATCAAGAAACGCCAACTAATAAGCGCACATTTAACACCAATCAGAAAAAATTAGAGATTAGAAAAGAAATAAAAGCGGTACCTATGCATATACTTGTAATATATATAATTTTAATGCTGCGCATTTCCCTTCGATCTGTCGCACACGAGTTTGTAAAATTAGCATAGTAATCATTACCTTCGTTCTGATATCTTTGGTATCTCTGTAGTAGTATTTTTCTCTCTGGTATCTAGTAGCACTAGGAGTTGAAAATAATAATGAAGGAAGAGTCCCTTCGTCCTGGTACGAGCGTCATGTGGAAGTTGATTGGAGGCAAAAGACGGGAATCTAGCGAATTATGTGTAACGAAGAACCAGTTGACAGACAATCAACTGACAGGTATAATCGACTTCGGTGCGTAGCTGTTAATGAGGCACTGTGTTTCTTTTCATTTTCTTCTTCGTTGCGCGCCTCGCTCAGCACCACTATTTCCGAGGCTTCTTTCTCTCTTACTCGACGACACTCGACTCGTCCCCTCGGAAGCGCGATATACGAACCGCGAAGCCGCGCACGATGCTACGCGTGTGAAGATCAATGAATCCCTGTGATACGCGCGTACGTCGTTCTCTCGCGTAGTTGCACGTACCACGAGAATTTACGGAAACGGTCCAACCGGAGACGAGAGAGTAACATAAGTAAAAACATGTACACTACCGTCCTTTTTTTTTCATCCGATGATGAATGTCACGAGTCAAGGCGGATTGTAAAGCACGAACCTGATTGCGGGGCGGCCCGGCGAATTATGGCTCTCTTTACGCTTTCGGCGGCTGCTCCGTTCCCTACTGCTCATGCCCACCTCCTCATCACCCCTCTGTACACTTCTGTGCTCTCATATGATCCCCACTCGTAGAAGTCCTCCCCACCGCGAACTACCATTAGGTCCGTAGCTGATATCTCCCCCACCACAAGACTGAGGGAGAAAGAGAGAGAGAGAGGAAGAGAGAGAAAGAGAGAGGAGGTGGAGATTCAGAACGTTGGCACCTTGCGGCGTAACTTGGGGATGTTGATCGCTGAAGCAACGCGCGAGCGTACTTTACGTCTTCCGGTTGCGCGGTTTTAGCGTAAGAATAATTTTTGGTGCGTCGCGGAAGTCGCCATTCCAATCTGGCAGAAAGTTTCTATTTTGTCGTGGGAATTCTTTCCATCTACCATCTACCATTCTATCATCTAATAAATCTCTGGTGTCAAGATCAATCATTTTTAAAGCAAAAAATTATGATGGAGCTTTAAACTTGAGAAATAAAGATGTCAATTAATTTCATGTGGATAATATTTTCACGTTAATATTTGCCACAAATTTTTATTCATTATTTAGAATTACGCACTTTTAATTCTTTATTAGAATTAGAAAAACCGACGTTTGTCGATAATACATAACAAAGCAAGTATACAATTTCTATTATGTGGAACTATGAAGAAATATTTAGGGAAAATAGAATCTTAATATAAAGATACGTTGCCTAATTAATCAAAATAATTTTGTTCAATTATAAAAAGAAAGTAATATTATAGTAGTAGTAGTACATAGATAGAGAAAATAGAACTACGATTTCATTAAATAAAAATTTAGTAATGAAAATATTATATTATAACTATAATGTTACTCCAATATTTCTCTTCTTCTCTATACAATTAACTAATTGATCCCAGTTATCAGATTTAACGTTACTTCTATAAATTTTTAGTATCAGCATCCGTCTTTATTTTCGGAACGACTAAAGCGTGGATCAGGAAGATATGGATATTATAGTTCTTAGATATTTCTGTGCTAGATTCAAAACGACGAAAATAAGTAACTTATAAAGACACCTTTAATGTCAAAGTTTCGGAATAGTAAGTAATCGATATCGGTAACGAGAATATTTTCTCAGAATTAGCAAGCATGTTCTTAAGACGAATTCTTTAGGTAAACACATCATTTGCCGTGATTTTTTCACATTTTCTTTTATTTTGAAAATAATGGAATTTTTACAAACTTTTTGTACCGAAATTCAGAATGAAACTAGTAATCTAAATAATACATGTACAAACATTGAACACAATGCTAATTAATTATTTCTATATATTTATATATA